CGTACATCTGGCAAAATGACAAGGACCAACAACAAGTAACGAAATGAGAATCTGTACAGTATTTCGCTCTCTGAAATCACTCGTCAGTATATTTTACATAGAGCAACAACTCAAAAACTGTAGCCCTTAAAGACGGATTGATAAACGAATGAAAATTTAGTGAGTTAAAAACAGTTAGTGCATTTTAGCTGTTACAAAATAGAAAGAAAGTGATTATTTCATTGACTTTCCCAATCAGGTCACACTAAACGAAGAAATACAGTCAACCGACATAAGAAAAGGGAATTGGACAAATCCTAATTATTGAATAAACGTTTGGACAAAAATAATGAATTCCCCATTAGATTCCTTATCACTGAAATTCTTTTGCAAAGGTAATATAGAAAGGCTTATTAGTTACTGCAAGAGAAGAAAAATAACTGAAGAGTTTTATGATTAGTTACTTTGAACTTGCTCTATCATTTCAATCTATTTTATTATTTTATTCTATGTTATTACTTTGCTCAAGTGTTTCATATTTTTTAAGTGTCATTAATTAACATCTGTTTGACAGTCAATATTGTCGTATTGTGGTTTAGTACTTTGCCTGTACTCTCAATGTATCAACACATTGAAGAGAAATGAGGCAGTGATACAAGTTTCCTATTTCTTTCTTGTACTTTTATGGGCAATTTTTCTTTCTGTATGTCGTCTTTTTTTTTGTCTTATCTCTTTGAAGCACCGCTCATGGAATTGTTATGGTTTTATTGACAAATTTCAGTTGAAGTTTATATTTAGATTATTTCTCTTGTTTTGTTTTCATGCTATTGTCAGTAAGATAAGAAGCATGGGTCAGAGATGTACAGTGCTAATACGATGTCTCTCATCCCCGTAGTCATGCTTGCGATCCTTAAACTCGCATTCACATGTGATTAGAATTCAGAAAGGTTGTTTTCTGGTTCTCTTCTGTACGCGGAGGGTTTTCTCTGGGTTTCATTCCCTTTCGAAAATTCAGTACTGAACTTTTAATGAAAGAGGGCCATATGTTTGTACGCCGTTGTGTTATCCCAGTTTAAGGACTAGAGTACAAACACTAAAAGCGTGCAACACTTTGCACTATTCAGTAGTAAATAGTGCTAATTAAACAATAGAAAACAATAGTATTAGCATAATTTAGCAGTATTTAGTGGTATTTATGTTACACAGTTATAGTGTTTGTACTCTATTTATTTAATTATTACATTTTTAATTATGTAAATGAATTTATCATTTATCTATTTAACTGTATTTTTGATTTTTGACGGTGGCCTGGGTAATTTTTTTGCTTATAGTATGTTTTATTCTACGTAATTACAGTTTGTTCTCATAATATTTTTCGAACCTTCCAGCTCAATTGGGTTAGCACGTTGAAAACGAAAAAGAAAAAAGAGAGAGACACCCACTATCTATATGATTTAGACTTTATTTTACCAACTAAAAAAAATTTTACCCAAAAAATTTCGAATGCAAATTGATTTTGATATTGTCAGCTATTGTCCTCTGCAGGGTTTATTTCATTGAAGAACCAGAAACCAAGTTAGGCTTTCCGTATAACGGGGATCACGGCAGCCATATTGTAGAACACCCGAGTAACATGAAAATTCACTCGTTTCTAAAAGTGGAAAAGTGGCTACTGCAGCCTAATGACATAGCGGCTGTGGACCTCTCTATACAATAATAGCTGTAATGGAACCTAGCTCCTAATATATTATTAAGAACATTTTTTCTGCGGTTTGAGATATTCAAATCATTGCCGTTTTGTAATTGAGTCTTAAAATTGAAAGAAGGGATGGAAATACAATGATAATCAGTATAATAATAGAATATAAGTTCATCAATGTTCTGCTTCTGCTTCCGTCTCCGTTTTTTGATTTTCACAGGAACATAAGACGTCTTACACTTCTGCTTCTGCTTCCGTTTATGCTTCCGTCGTTAGTGAAAACCAGGCTTTCCTTTTTCTTATGCTTCTGCTTCCGTCATTACGTCGCTAGTGAAAACCAGATTCTTATGCTTCCGTCGCTAACATACAGAAGTACAAGGTAGTAAGCCAATCAAATTCAATCAAATCAAACTCAGTCCCCTGTACACATCGGATTCTTGCATAAACAATGGCTTCCTAATGTTCTTCTTATGCTTCCGTCACATTCATTTCACTAGAACATAACGATATCTTATGCTTATGCTTCCGTCGCTTATGTCGCTAGTGAAAACCAGCCTTTAAATGAAATCACGCGGTTTTTTTTAACGAATTGTGTTAATTCAATGTAAGTGATTTTAACAAGTTACATTTTCCCTCTATAATGGTTTGGCAAAGGATGTTTTATCTTTTGTAACTCTCAACTACTTATTAACTTTTCACTTAGGGACTTTTTTTTACTTTTATCCTTGAGGTTTAATCAAATGTTTCGCTGACATATTAATGTTTTATTGGATATCTGAATTGGCGCATTAGCGGCATCTTGATGTCGTCACATGTCTAAATTAGGACCCACCGTAACATTATTGTCTATATAATTTAATATACGTGTACATCTTGGCATTGTTGCGTATAGTTGCACATATCTACTCAAGTCTCTACTGTCCTAAACCTTCAAATATTTATTTGTTAAAACTACAGAAAGATAGGAATATCTAAAGATCATACAGGTACGTCCAAAACGTTCTAGAAAAACTACGAAAAACATACCTATTACCTAAATATTTTGTCACCTTTTCAGACTGAGTAACGCGGATCAGAATTATTTCGTTCAAGAATAGCAGTGCAGTAGTATAGTTCAATTATTTTAGGACAATCTTCATCTATTTGAATTACTTCATTCTGAATTTTTTTTGAGTATCTCCAATTTATCTGAATTATAAGGAAACATGAAATCTTTAAAAAGATAGATTTTGGCTGTAGCCTACGCTCGTTTTTTAAAGGACACGCGTCAGGACCGCCTCTTTAATCCTAACGACATTTCTTAATCCAACTTAAGCTTTTTAATCCGAAGAAACACGTAAAAACATTGGCAAAGAGGCTTTATATATTCGTAGTTTCGTATTATTTGTATTGATTGGAAAAGCGAACGGTCGATGATGCTACTGTCTTGGTCAGATGCCTTTTGTCATGGTTTATAAACCACATTGACAGTGGGATGCTTTTCTGGCTTGACAGAAAATATGAACTTCAATACTTCAATACAATAAGTCTTTTGGAGATTCTTTCAAACTTGCCGAATAGGCCCCTTTGGCCTAGACGAATGGTCTAGGTAAGGAATAGTATTTCACATAAACTTAAATTCAATAAGAATAAAATTAATTGGATGAGCATGCTGGTAGCCTTATCTGAGACAATCAGTTTTATAAGATAGCTAAATTCTTTCTTTTCGTTCGTATATTCATTCATTTCATTCAAATAGCTTTTTATATATATTGTGTAAGTTGCTATTCATGGTTAGAGATCAAACACTATCTGTAAAACAGTACAATTTCTAATTAGTACTAAATGATACAAAATAATGCCTTGTCTATTGTTTTTTTATGAATTCATCATTTGTAATAGAGATTAGTGTCAATTATATAGTAATGTTTTACCGATTGTGCATTCTAAAAATGTAGTAGTTGCTTGAAAAAGTAGTTTCAATCAGTGATAAATTTTTTTCGTCGGGTTTTAATCCAAAAATAATTCAAAATTACGATTTAAAATCCCTAATAATAAATCAACATCCAAATTATTGATTGAGCAAAAACATTATTGAAATTATTTCTCTTATAGTAGCCTACCATACAAAATTGAAGCTACTGAGCAAGCTACTAGGCAACTACACCATGAACAATGCAATTTGAGCCCACGATATGTGCGCGCTTAAATACCGCTGAATAGCCTTTAAAGTTTTATAAGACACCATACACGTTTTGATATTCAACTACTTTTTTGGATTTCTGCAAAAGTACAAAACTTTTAACAAAATTTGCCGCTCAACAACAACAACAAAAAAACCAGTGTTGAACTTTGGTACTCGTTTCAAAAAAACTGTCCAGCGCAAAATGAGTAAAAAATTAATTTAAGCACATATCTTAATATACTTCAACATCTCTTGAATTTGTTTTCGTAAAACAATATATGATTTAGGTATCCCGAAATAAATAACTTTATGAATTTAACGTTAAGAATTTTTTCGTGAGTTAGTTTTCGTTTATTTTTCTTTTAAAAAGTTGCAGATGTTTCTATGCAGACTTGAAATCAGCATTAAATTTGGATCTATTAAAACTTTCCATGGATTTTTTACTCAGAGTAGGCAGCCGCCTTAACCATAAGCAGCACTTAAAACGAATTATTATGAAAACTTTGTTATTGCGGATGGCGTAGGCAAGCTGGAACAGATGTTGCATTAAACTACCCCCTCATGGTTAACCACGAGTGAAACATGTCATGATTTAAAATGCAAATTATTTCAGTTATCGAAACGTAAGGCTAATCCTTTCATATTGTCTTTTCGTCTTTTCTCCTGAACTCTTGGAAAGTATGGTGAAACGCACGCATGCGCAAACGTTTTTCTCTTGTGTTACTAGTGATATCTGTTGATTTCTGTCTGATGACCAAATATATTAATATATCAAAGTTATCAAAAATATTAAAGAAAATAAATGTGGGTTTGGATATCAAGGACAAATTACGAAAAAGACTATATGCTATATGAAACGCGTGATATTGCATTTGCAATTTTTTCATTTAAATCATCTATTCTATTTATTCTCTTGTTCATTCATGGACCGCAGATAGGGAGGGGCTGGGGGCTATGCCAATGTTTGCTAATATTGTTCATATCCCCCCCCCCCCCCCCCCCCATAACTCATATGCATACTAGTCTGTTAAATTTTACAATCTAAGCCCCAACTTTTTAGGGGGCAGCGTTGTCCTTGTCATTGTGTTGCCTGCATGGTTGATGTAGCCTCGATACTAAAAATGTTAATATTTGTTTGCTTGTTATTTCTTATTCTAGGCTATCAAGATGAAAACTCTAATAATCTGGCTTAGTATTCTATCAGTTGTACGCTCATCGGCACCCAATGACATCAGTAAAGAAAAAGAAGCAAAAAAGGAACTTCCACCAATCGCCAACCGATTTGGAGAGTTTATGGGCACTGGAAAGAGGGAACTTCCACCAATCGCCAACCGATTTGGAGAGTTTATGAATACTGGCAAGAGGGAACTTCCACCAATCGCCAA